ACACTCCAGAGATAAGGAAGAATCTTGTTTCGGGATATCTTCTTAATAAGGCTGGGTTTAATCAAACTATTGGGGCAGACTTGTATACCCTTACTAAGAATGGGAGTTTTGTGGGAAAGGGATATGCATGTAATGGGATGTTCAAGTTGAATGTCGAAATTAATAAGATGAATTCTTCAGTTTACATGGTGTGTGATTTGAATGTTTGGCATGCTCGTCTTTGTCATGTAAACACACGAATTGTGAAGAATTTAAGCAAGCTAGGGCATATCCCTAAACTCTCAATGAATGAATTTGATAAATGTGATTTCTGTAGCCAAGCTAAAATAACGAAAACGCCCCATAAATCTGTGAGTAGAGAATCAGAAGCCTTAGATCTTATTCATTCTGATATTTGTGAACTAGATGGGACGTTAACTAGGTCTGGCAAGAGATACTTTATCACTTTCATAGATGATTGCTCTCATTATTGCTTTGTTTATTTGATGAAAAACAAAAGTGAAGCCCTTGATATGTTCAAGGTATTTGTGGTTGAATTTGAAAATCATTGCAATCGAAAGATAAAAAGACTTAGGAGTGATAGAGGATCAGAGTATGACTCTAATCCCTTCAAGGAATTCTATAGCTCACATGGTATCATTCATGAAACCACGGCACCATATTCACCAGAAATGAATGGTAAAGCTGAGCGGAAAAATAGGACGTTTACAGAATTAGTCGTGGCTATTATGCTCAATTCTGGAGCTGCTTCTTCTTGGTGGGGTGATATTTTGTTGACAGTTTGCTATGTGCTAAACCGTCTTCCAAAAACAAATAGAAAAGAATCACCCTATGAGATCTTGAAGAATAAGCCACCTAATCTGTCCTATTTAAGAACGTGGGGCTGTTTGGCCTACGTAAGAATTCCGGATCCTAAGAGGATTAAATTGGCTAGTCGAGCATATGAATGTGTCTTCGTTGGCTATGCGGCCAATAGTAAGGCATATGGATTCTATGATTTGAATGCTCGTACTATAATAGAATCCATTGATGCTGATTTCTTTGAGACACGATTTCCATTTAAAACAAGAAATAGTGGGGGTAATGTACTACCTACTATTAGAGATAACGGAACTAGTGGGGGTGTTGGTTCTGAGGATGAACTCAGAAGAAGTAAAAGAGCTAGAATCTCTAAAGATTTTGGTGATGACTTTACTACAGTATTCACCCTCGAAGATCCAAAAAGTTTGCAGGAAGCATTAACTTCCGTAGATGCAGATTTTTGGAATGAGGCCGTTATAGATGAAATGGAATCGTTAGAAGCTAATAAGACTTGGCATCTAACAGACTTACCTCCTGGCTGCAAAGTCTTAGGTAATAAATGGGTTCTAAAAACGAAACGGAAACCTGATGGTGCAATCGAAAGGTTCCGAGCTCGCCTAGTAGTTAAGGGCTACAGGCAGAGAGAGAATATAGATTTATTCGATACCTATTCACCAGTATCTAGAATAACATCCATTCGTGTAATGATTGCTCTTGCTGCCTTGAACAATCTCGTGGTACACCAAATGGATGTTAAAACCGCTTTTTTGAACGGTGATCTAGATAAAGAAATCTATATGGAACAACCAGAAGGGTTTGTTATCCCCGAACATGCCTCGAAAGTCTGTAAGTTAGACAAATCATTATATGGTTTGAAACAGGCTCCAAAACAGTGGCATGAGAAGTTTGACACTCTCGTTCTCTCACATGGCTTTAAGGTGAATGAAAGTGACAAGTGTATTTACTGCAAGTCAGAAAATAACACTTGTACTATCATATGTTTGTATGTAGATGACATGTTGATATTTGGTACAAATATTCACATAGTCAATGAAGCAAAAGCCATGTTAAAAGAGAGCTTTGAAGTGAAAGATCTGGGAGAAGCAAAGTTTATGCTTGGAATCCAGATAACTAGAACAGCAAATGGTTATTCTCTAGATCAATCTAGCTACATAGAGAAGATCTTGAAGAAATATAACTATTTCGACTGTAAACCTGCGTGTACTCCGTATGATGCTAGTGTAAAGCTATTTAAGAACACTGGAGACAGTGTAAGACAATCAGAATATGCTAGCATCATTGGCAGTCTCCGTTATGCTGCGGATTACACTCGACCAGACATTGCATATGTCGTGGGATTGCTTGGCAGGTTTAACAGCTGTCCTAGTAGAGAGCATTGGAATGCTATAGAGAGGGTCATGAGATACCTCAAGAGAACAGCAAACCTTGGTATACATTATCAAAGGTTTCCTGCTGTACTAGAAGGGTATAGTGATGCGGTTTGGAATACCCTATCAGATGACTCCAAGGCAACCAGCGGGTATGTTTTTAACATCGCTGGTGGAGCTGTGTCTTGGAAGTCAAAGAAACAAACAATCATAGCTCAATCAACTATGGAATCAGAGATGATAGCACTAGCAACGGCTAGTGAAGAAGCAAGTTGGTTGAGAGGATTGTTGTCAGAGATTCCCCTATGGGAAAGACCGGTCCCTCCGGTATTGATCCATTGTGATAGTACCGCAGCTATCGCTAAAGTTGAGAACCGGTTCTATAACGGAAAGAAACGACAGATTCGTCGTAAGCACAGTACTGTAAGAGAACTCCTAACGATAGGAGCAGTGAGGGTGGATCATATAAGATCCGAACAGAATCTAGCTGATCCTTTGACGAAAGGATTACCTAGAGAGAAAGTCCAGAATACCGCCAAGGGTATGGGACTTATGCCTACCAAACCACGGACTACAAGTGATGGTAACCCGACCCAATAGACTGGAGATCCCAAGAAATGGGTTCAATGGGTAATAACAAGTCATGAGTAGTATGCGAAAAGTTCATGCATAGTGAAGCATGAATCCCAAAGCAATGGAGGTTGAGTTAATAACTCTTAATGAGGTCTATACCCTATGTGGGGTGGAGTACTTTACTTTGGGGGTACTCTTGATAGACTCACCTATGTGAATGTGGGAGTGGGGCCGCTCCCTATGGAACTTTGGAGGCACAAAGTTGCTAGAGCGTTCACTAAACCAGGGTAACGTGCATGGCCATAAACGCACGGGCTATGAAGAGAACACAACTCAATGAAAAGATCCGGTGTGCTACACTAGTCTGAGATAGGGTTCAAGACTACGAGTCACCCTTATGAAATCGGAAGTGTAACCACTACGCTATGGTTCAAATCTTCGCGATACCTTAGCTTATGCCCGATCTTATGGAACTGTTGATGCTCAGAGATAGTTTCAAAACTATTCAAGTGGGGGATTGTTGGAAATGTATATGAATGTATATGAATAGCTTTGAAAGCTATAGAGTCTCTAGTGGAAAAACTACCACATTGGTAGTTTTACTTGGTGAAATGTGTATAAAGATAGGAGCCTCTCTCCCAAGGGCATGCCCCTTGGGGTGACCCACTTTTGTGGGAGAGGGAGGACCTAATGGACCACCACACACGCGCGCGCACGCGCGCCGTCCGTCCGACCGACCGGCCGGTCGGTCGGTCGGTCGGTTGGTTGGTTGATTGGTTCACTTGAGACTATGTATATGAAATCGGAAGTGTAACCACTACGCTATGGTTCAAATCTTCGCGATACCTTAGCTTATGCCCGATCTTATGGAACTGTTGATGCTCAGAGATAGTTTCAAAACTATTCAAGTGGGGGATTGTTGGAAATGTATATGAATGTATATGAATAGCTTTGAAAGCTATAGAGTCTCTAGTGGAAAAACTACCACATTGGTAGTTTTACTTGGTGAAATGTGTATAAAGATAGGAGCCTCTCTCCCAAGGGCATGCCCCTTGGGGTGACCCACTTTTGTGGGAGAGGGAGGACCTAATGGACCACCACACACGCGCGCCGTCCGTCCGACCGACCGGCCGGTCGGTCGATCGGTTGGTTGGTTGGTTGATTGGTTCACTTGAGACTATGTATATGAAATCGGAAGTGTAACCACTACGCTATGGTTCAAATCTTCGCGATACCTTAGCTTATGCCCGATCTTATGGAACTGTTGATGCTCAGAGATAGTTTCAAAACTATTCAAGTGGGGGATTGTTGGAAATGTATATGAATGTATATGAATAGCTTTGAAAGCTATAGAGTCTCTAGTGGAAAAACTACCACATTGGTAGTTTTACTTGGTGAAATGTGTATAAAGATAGGAGCCTCTCTCCCAAGGGCATGCCCCTTGGGGTGACCCACTTTTGTGGGAGAGGGAGGACCTAATGGACCACCACACACGCGCGCCGTCCGTCCGACCGACCGGCCGGTCGGTCGATCGGTTGGTTGGTTGGTTGATTGGTTGACTTGAGACTATATATATATTTTTGGAGAAATTCCGAACGAAATTAATTATTTAATAATTAATTATTAATCTGTTATTCTGAGGTATATTCCTAAGGATAATCGACTAAAACGGAATATTCGAAGGATAATCCCTCCGGGTTTATCTTAACCGACGGTTTTAATTAAGAAAGTAATTATCTTCCTTAATTAATCCGACTTATTCCCCAAGCAAGAGGGTATATTCCTAGGGGTTCGGCTCCTATAAATAGCCGCCTCCCCAGCCCCTCTAAACACATCACAACGAGCAGAAGCACAATAGAGAGAGTGTTTAGAGAGCTTCGGTTTTCGCACAAAACCGCGAGTATTGAGAGGAGCTGTTTTATCCTGGAGACGACCGGTTCATAGTCTGCCGTGCGCATCGAAGGCAGTGCCGCGAACGTCTTAAAGAAAGCGACCTAGTCCGCGACTCAGCTCCAGATTCGGTAACCTCGTTCCTTTTGTTGTTCCGTTCCTTTTGAATAAAACAATCAGACGCATCTCAAGCCCAGATGTAGCGTCAAGATTATCCTTCCAAGTCAACCCAATCACTACCATCGGCAATCGGATTCAGAAGGGGGGGGGGGGGGGGGGGGGGGGGGAAGAATTAGCTTCCCTGCTTTAAAGATGCCAAATCCGAGCTGACCTCAGGAAAATCCCATCCTCTGATCCATCCGAATCGTTAGCAATTCTCGATACAAATAAAATCTAACTACAAAACACCTTAATCCTCACGAGGATATGGCCATAGGGTATTTCACAAAAGGATTGAAGCTCCAAATGCAGATATATACAAACAATCACTAGTTCTCATCGATGAAACACGAATCTGGCTTCCTACGCCATCCAGGTCGCTCGATTCAAGACGCAAGTCCATATTGGGATGGTCTTCGATATGCTATCGGGAAATCTTTTCCCCTTCCTGGTTGAATCAACAATCATACTTCCTCCGTTCGGCGAGGGCGGCGGCATGGACGGTGGAGGAGGAGCGGAGGTGAGAGAGAGCCCTGGAGCGATGGTTGAGGAGGGATTTGAAGTCCCTGAGAGAGAGGTTTCGGGTGGGCATCAGCCATCGACGAGGGGCATCGGGGACTCGGTGGAGATTCCCCCTGTAAAGCGAAATCGCCTCCATGTCTTCCAGTGCTTCGACCTTGATTTTGCTTTTCAAGCTTCTTCTTCTCTTATTGCTCGGCGGTGGTGATTGACGACAATGGAGATGCGAGGCGTTAGGGGTGTTCAAACGGTTTGGTAACCGTGGTAACCGTTTTAACCGGTATTATTTGGATAATTTGGTTTGGTTAATTTGAATAATTGGTTTGGTTTGGATAAAGTTTTTAGCTTGTTTGGTTTAGGTGGTTTGGTTTGGTTTCAGACACTCCTAACCAGTCCAACCAAATTAACCAGTTAATTAATTAGTCATATATCTAACATATATTATATACACATACTATATACTTTGCATAACCACTCAAGAGTTAACGTTCATCCCTTTTAGACTCATAAAATTTAAAGCTCAATATTGCTCATATAGTGTATATTTGTATATGTAAAGTGTAGACCATAACATATAGACGCCTAATTTAGATAAATTTCATTCATTATGATGGATGAAAACTTGAAAGGAAGGTTATTTCCAGCTTATGATAATTGCTAAGAGACTAAGTCAATTTACACAAACACAACAATTCATTAACTCATACCATTGTCATAAATTTTTGTTAGGTGAATACTTCTATATGAATCGTAAGATAATTGTCTTAGTTGCATGTATTTTTATTAAGGGTCAACTATAACTACGTGTTGATTGTTATGTTTTATTCATTATATAAATTGCAAATTGTTGCATTCACCGTAAAATTTTCATCATCAATGATAATGTGATTTTATATTGGTTAATCTGGTTAACCAATTAACCAAACCGATTAAACTTTAATTTGGTTAATTTGGTTGTTGTATTAGTTTGGACGGTTTGGTTATGATATTGTATTCCATGGTTAATGGAATTTAGCCTTATTTGGTTTGGTTATAACCATAGTAACCATTTGAACACCCCTACGAGGTGTGATGGTGGGAGGTGACTGTTGGTGATGACAGTCTGGCGCGACGGTAAGCGTCCCGACTGGGTTTGGTTCCTCCTGAATCCCGTCCTTTCCCGCCATTTCCTTATCTCGATCAGCGCTCGGGTGCTTGGAAAGCAATTGATGGGGCCGCAGTTGCTTGGCGGTGATGACAGAGGGACAAGGAATGGCGGCTGTCAGCTTTGGCCGAGAGCTGCAGGGGAGAGGGGTTCCTTGTCGAGTAACCATATGAGCGAGTTCCACAGCTCCCCCTCGCTTTCTATCTCGATCTCAGCCGCCGCTATGGAAGGAGAGCTGGGTCATCGTAGCTCTCGTTTCTTGGATTGGGATTAGTCGAGCTAGGGAAAGGAGTTTGAGCAGCCGATTTTCCTTTTAGGGTTCCTTATTTAGTGAAACCGGATGGGTTCTTGGCGCCGGGGGGGGGGGGGGGGGGGTTGGAATTTTTTTAATAATAATAATAGTTATTATTATTATTATTATTATTATTATTATTATTCCTAATCCGCGGTTGCAATCCTTAGTACGTAACCGTTAATCCAACCGTTCACGTACTATGGTCGAACCATAACCCGAAATTCGGGGTGTTACAGAAGAGCCTTGAAGTTGATCGTCAAACAAGGAGCAGTTAGAGTTACGTGGAAGAAGGTAAACCACCTAACTTCTTTGTTCTCCAGTAATATCATGGGGCGATTGTCGATGAGATTGAAAGGAGTTTAGCGAGGATGGCACTGGCAAGCAACTCCCTGAATTTTACCGCATACAATTATCGTTCGGATTGCAGAACGTGCCGAGAAACTACTGCAAAGAGAGGGAGAAGAGTCCATTTCTTACAGTTCCCTTGACGCTGAGACTCCGATCTCGCTTGCTCCAATCCGAGGTCCAGCGCATGATCCCCGCTCGACATTCTGTTGGGTGACTAATCGTCTGCACCATTTCTTCCTCTTGCTTCGCTCTTCCTTTGCATTCGAAGCTTCGCCAAGCAGAGGATAGCAGAGTGGAACTTCTCCAGGACCAGCAAAACCCGGAAAACCCTAGGACTTCCGAGCATGTCGAAATCCCTTCCCTATTCGGTTAAAGATTTGCAATACGACAACGCCAAATTCCGCCAGTGTTCGGTTTGGAAGGTGGGAATTGTCCCATGCTTGAGGTGTAGGGCCACGTTTAAACTATATATATTTGGGTAATCGATTTGGTGGAAGAACTTATGGGTGGACTGCTTATTATTTGATAGTTAGGTGGGCTACAAGTAAGAGAACACGAGGGGCTAGGGGCAGAGTTGCTGGTTGCTACATAATACAATTTGTTATTGGGTACCATGGAAAATAAGTCAGGCTTGGAATGGTAATCCCCCTTAACTTTGAGAATCATAGGGAGGGATAGAGCTAGTGCGGATGATTCAAGCAAGGAGAGACGATCCTAAGGATTTAATTCTGGTCAGCAGTTAGTTCAAGCTAGGCGACTTGAGTTCGAGGTGAGTGTAAAGGGGGTAAATTCTACGCCTTACGATTTTTTCAAGTATTTGCTTTGAGTATTTTCAAGTATTGAATTACGTGATGTATGTGTAGTGTTTGATTCATGTTTGAGACTGCATGATTATGTTTGATAGTATGTGCTTTGGTTGAGCTAGGAGTTGAAGTGAAGGTGTATGAGTTTATCTCTTACTTTGAAGTTTACGTTTATGAGTGATTATTAAAACTTAAGAGCAAGTCCTTTTAAGAAGTACTTCACCTTCAAGAAGGTAAAGTAGGTTTAAGTGTTTTTAGTCACTAGCGCCAGTCCGTTGCCTTTTGAGACAGTTTGAGATAGAGCAGCAGTTATGCTCCTGAGGCTTTTAAGATGAGCAGCAGTTATGCTCTTGAGAATCGTGGTAAAGAGCCACCACGATAAGTTTAAGATGGTAGGGGGTGAATCGTTACGACTTCCCTAACTGAGTTTAAGTTTAAGGAAAGCCTAAATGGCTTCTCATACGTATGAGTTGGCAACCGGACTAGCTAGTGGGGGATCCCAGTGTCAGTCAAGTATTTAAGTCGAGATTTGAACTTTAAGAATGGAGAGTAGCAGAAACTCCCATACAGTTTTAAGAGTTAGAAATTTTAAAAGTGGAAGTACAAACAACTTCCACCAGTTTAAGTTAAGTATCTAAAGTAAAATACTCAAGTACTAGATTTTAAAATGCATGGGCGTAGAAGTTAGAGGAGCAGTTAGAGAGCAGCGGGATCGAGAGAAACAGTTCGAGTGAAGCTAGCTAGAGGAGGACGGTACGAGCGTCACAGAGGATGTCTAGTCAGATGTATTTCACACAAGCAGCAACACCTGAGACTAGTTAGTTATTATGTTTTATGATCATGATATAGACTGGAGATCAAGTTGTGTTTTTAAAGTTTGGGTTTAATTTGCCCACATGTTAGGGTTTTGCTTTGAACTACAAGAGTGTGTTTTCCGTATTATATTTATGAAAATTTTTCCCAGTTGCAATTTAAGATTTGAGTATTTTATTTATCAAGGGCATTTTAGTAAAAGTATTACCCGGCCGGGTTAGGGTGTTACACAATTATCACAACCCCACACTCAATACTTGCTTGTCCCTAAGCAACAATCGAAACACGAGAACGATAATTGGAGGAAACACAACACAGACCAGGGAGACACAATCATGCTCACACAAAAATCCATGACACATAAAACATAACATCAACACCAAAAATTTACCCTAGTCCTCTTGTTGTAATAAGTAGTTTCTTTCTAAATGGAGGAGTTGTGCTTTAATAATCATATCATTCACCCCACACTCAAGGTCTTTGCAACCATTAACCATTGACTAACTAAAATGCACCAAAAACTCAATTAGCAAACACTCAATTTAGGTCGTTGGTAGTGGGTTATTAACAACTTATGGTGCAACAACTATTAGGAGAATCTAACCATATCAGTGAGGTGCATATCTCGTGAGGACAATCTGGCTTACTCACACCAATCATAAGCAATTAACTAAGCATGAGTCTCAAAAACAAATGGGGGAAGCTTTTCGCAAACTTGGTTTTTACTTTAAGCACATCACTACCTTTATGACAAGGAGAGGCTTTTATCTCTTTCAGATTTTTCTTGCCGAGTTGTCGTATTTAGTACAAGTGGGATTTGTTTCTTACTACCGGTGACCGAGCAAGAGCAATTTCTGCTTCTTATCACTCGCATAAGGACTTCTTTCAACTCCTTTTCCTCGGTCCATGTGGAGGGTCACTACACATCCTCACATGGCACTTCACTCAACGGGGAATCGTCTTGATAAAAAACATCGTACGGTCGTGAACCGAAGCTCAATTGAAACTTTCCTAATCCCCCTGTGCAATGAGTGATTGCCTCACACGATTTTGGTATTTTACCCACACTTTAATTGTTATGGCAACTTTCTTATATTTTACTTGTCAGGTAGGATTTTTCCTTTTATAAAGATACAGTTCACCCCATCATAAAACATTTAAAACAGAGAGACTCATGCAAAATCAAAAGCTCACAACAAATGCAAGTAAGCACGGTATCCAAACATGTCGAATGGTCAATGTTCTCCACATAACTACTTCACCAAATGTCATTACACTATCCTCACAAAATATAGTTTTGCTAAAAGAGTTTGCTCATTCAAAGCATGTCTAGTCAGTCAAATTATTAAGCCTATTGTGAAGAACTATGCAATTCAACACTAGTGGGGTGATTTAGATGATTTCCTTCAAGCATAAACTCATTTCACATGCATCACGGTCATTTACATCATGTTATCACAAGAGTACAAGGTTTTGTTTTTAATTTTTATGATTTTTAGGTGTATTTTTTTATTACTTATTTTTACCACATGCAACAGGGACAAACAACACTAAGATTCACCACCCCACTCTCAGGATGGAACATTGTCCCTAATGTTCAACTCCTAATCTAAACATGCACGCGTTTGACACAGCTAAAAAGAAAAATAAAGAAAGGAAAACTCACCTTGGGTTGCCTCCCAAGAAGCGCTTGTTTAACGTCCTCAGCCTGACATTCATGGAGCTTTTCAACCAATGGGTATGGAAAGGTATCCAGAATACCCTCCCGAGCAATGATAGAATGCATAGCCTCCATCTAACATATGAGTCACCTCAGCAGGGCCAGGTGTGCGAAAATTGGGTATGACCTTCTTAGCTTGCATGTTGGACCCCTTAGTGAGGCGTTGGTGGTACTGCAGCGACTCAAGCAAGTACCCTTCCTATTTCAATATCAGTGAACAAGGAATAATAACAGGAAGATTGAAATCCTTACCCAAATATCTGTACTTGAGATGATCTGGCAAGGATTTATGTCCTTGCTTTGATTTCAGACTTTGAGCAGCTAGGACATGTAATAGTTCTTTCGGTGGTCCACTATCACAGGAAGATGAATTTTTCCTTTCTCGAGCTCCACTTTCAAAGTAATCAAATGCATCGTGATTATGATCAACTTGGAAGACATTAAAAATTTCCTCCTCCTTACCTACTCGGAATGTCAGTTTGCCTCTCCCAACATCGATGAGTGCATCTTCAGTTGCTAGAAAAGGTCTCCCCAAGAATGAGAGGCACTCCCTGATCTTCTTCCATCTCCAAAATTACAAAATCTGCTGGGAGAATAAACTTTCCCACCTTCACCAATACATTCTCCACCACTCCCTTTGGAATTTTCACTGATCGATCAGCCAATTGGAGAGTGATCCGAGTAGGCTTAAGAACATCTCCCAATCCCAATTTCTTTTAGACTGAGTATGGCATTAAATTGATTCCTGCTCCAAGATCACAAAGTTATTTATCGAACTCTCTACCTCCAATGACACATGGAATGGTGAAGCTGCCCGGATCATCCCTCTTTTCTGGTAATTTATTCTGAATCACAGCACTACATTCAGAAGTAAGGGTTACCTTCTCTAGATCAGCCCACTTGCGCTTCTTTGTCAGCAACTCCTTTAAGAATTTAGCATATGTAGGCATCTGTTCAAGTGCCTCCGCTAGTGGTATGTTGATATGAAGTTGCTTGAAGAGATTCACAATTTTTTTGAAGTTTGGGTCTTCCATGGGCTTCATTAACCTCTGAGGGAATGGTGCGAGAGGTTCATAAGGCTTTACCTCTTCATTCTTGAATTTTTCCACATTTGGAGGTGCACAGGCAGAATGCTCATGCACGGGCAGGTTGCATGCAGTTTACCTATGCAAGTCAGATTTTTCAGCTTTTGCACTTTCTTCCTTTGCCACTGTTTTGTCCTCCTTTTCTACTGGATTTTTCTTGCTCTTTGGACCCTCCAACTCCTTCCCACTCCTCTATGTGATTGCTACAAC